GCACCAGTTTCGTGGCATGTCTTTGAACTTTTTCAAGCTTAGCTATGTGCTTAGCTATGTGTGTGTGTGTGTGTCTGAGAGAGAGAGAGAGAGAGAGAGAGAGAGAGAGAGAGAGAGAGAGAGAGAGAGAGAGAGAGAGAGAGAGAGAGAGAGAGAGAGAGAGAGGAGAGAGAGAGAGAGAGAGAGGAGAGATTCATTTCAAGGAGAGTCATTTAAGGTCACGCTTTACAACACAATTTCATCAAATGCTCAGCCCCCTAACCTACCCTCTTCCATCCCCAGTACTACTTCTCTCAGCCTGGTCCTTCCCGCCAGCCTAGAAGCAATGGATGGCGGTAATGTAAAAGGAGAGTAATGGTGCAGGGACCCGGATATAATATCATTTCCGTCTCAGCCTGGTTTAACGAAGTGAATAATATGAATAGTAACATGTGATAACAGTTTAAAGCAAGACTTTATAGGATCTGCAAAAGAACATGAACAGGGAAGAAGATGAAAGAATTGGAAGCAACAAAAATTAAGGGCAAGGGAACACAAAAACAATGTGGACGCTCATAGAATGGAAACAGAAAACGGACACTGGGAATAAGTGCTGTTTTTCACTGAATCTCTTACCTACATAGTCACAGGGGTCGCAATAAATCAGTGGTAAAGAAAGCAAGTCGGAAAGTGACAAACGGAGGTTTTATCCCACCCCGGGGAGTTAGGAAGGGCATCCAGACTTAATCCTCTAACTCTAACATGTCTGTGTTCACTCTTTTCGAATGGGGGCTACCTGTGACACATAAAACGCTATATACTATTACCTAGGCTTGCCAATCACACAGACACACTCATAAATATACATTGCAAAAATACGGGAAAGAAATGGACAAAATGGGGTTGCTTAGCCTGCATAATTAACTTTATGAATTTACCAAAAGCAAAAGGATACTTGAGAAAATTAAAACATAATGAAGCCTTCTTAGTGGAAAAAACTCAATTATTACCCTATTTATTTTCAAATATCATGGTATTAATAGAAGAACGAACAATAATCTTCCTGTGATAAAGAGGTAATGCCCTTATATTTTAAATATCATGGTATTAACAGAAGAATGAACGAGAGACTTCTAGTAGTCAGTAACTAATGCCCTTTATTTATACTCGTGTACATCATGGTCTTAGTATATACACGAACTATAGACTTTGAGTATTCAATAACTAATGTTTATAATTCTACAAGAAGAACGAACAACAACGTTTCTTTTAGTCTGGATTCTCTTTCTCTTCGCCTTAAGTTATCTTTTTTTTCTTTTTTCTGTCGCTACTACTTCCATCGCTGCTCTGACGAGTTGGCGAGTTCGATCCCCCTCCCTCCGCCAAGCCGTGTAACACTCGCCAAGCGGCATCATATCACAGTGTGGAAATTTGTAGCTCGCGGATTGGTCGGTGCAGCGACTACTTCTTCCCATCCGCCCCCTCCTTCCGCCTTCTGTCTCGACTAATTCTTATAACCTATCTTCCTTAGAAGCACAGAACTATCATCATCTCAGGGTCTAGTCGTGCCATATCTCTAGGTCTTCAATACTTCTACTAATTTCTCAGACTGTAATCTTTCTATTACGCATCATGCCTTTATTTCTGCCTTGTCCTTAAACTTATACTTTTTATTCGTCTTAATGCTTTCTTGGTGCTCAGGGCAATTTTCATGCCCATCCCGGTGACACGCTCATAAAAAAAAACTGTTGCTCTTTAGATTTCAAATATCATTATATTAACAGTAGAACAAACAATAGTCTTCCTGTGATCAATAAATAACACTCTCTTTGTTTTTAAATACCATGGTATTAATGGAAGGACATACAAGAGATTTCTCGTAATCAGGAACTAATGATTGACCTTTTTATCATTATCAAACATTATTATATCAAGAATTACCCTTAATTATAAGGATGTCACTATGTCAGTTTACATCACTGGTCACAACCAATAAGAATTGGGTTACATTTATTTCTATTGGTTTTAGGTATATTGTATGGGTAAATACATATTTTCCAGAAAACAGAGGCTTTATAAATTCTGAACTGGATGAATTTAAATTATATGTATTTTTAAAAAATACCAAATTTCCAATATATATATATATATATATATATATATATATATATATATATATATATATATATATATATATATATATATATATATATATATATATGAATGCACACAGACGTCTACTTCACCGTCTATTATTACAAATGAACGAAAATATAATGTAAATATGAATCACTCGACACTGAATATATGTACATGATTATAATAATGAAAAGGATCATTAAAATTCCGAAAACTGTCAGGAGAGGATTCTAGACTCGATAAAGAGAGAAAGCCATTCACTGCTCTCAAAATCAAGTGGCAAAGGCCTGATTTCTTAAACAGTGAAAACCTAGGATACCATATTGTTAGTTAGCTAGACACACAAATGGATTTCATAAACGCATCAGACGCGGGTCTGTGTATGGCTGGGGGAATCCTAGCCATACACAGACTGCGTCAGATGCGCTTATGATATCCATTCGTGTGTGTCTAGCTAACTAACAACATGGGATCCTAGGCTTACACTGTTTAAGAAGTCGGGCCAAAGTGTCTCATTAATATAAAGCTAAAGGGAGACTTTACAAGGATCATTTTTTGTCAAATCCGATCTCCATGCATGAGAGTAGACACAGGTTAGAGCTGGAGAAATAAGGCTGGGTGCCCTTCCCAACACCCTGCGACGGAATCGACCCCGTGTTCGTTGGGTTCATCAATTCCCGATTTCCGTTCTCTACGACTAAGTTCCAGCAATGCTCTTGAGAGAAAATAAGTAAAAAGATCTCTCTCTCTCTCTCTCTCTCTCTCTCTCTCTCTCTCTCTCTCTCTCTCTCTCTCTCTCTCTCTCTCTCTCTGCTTGAGTGTGTGTGTATATATATATATATATATATATATATATATATATATATATATATATATATATATATATATATATATATATATATATATGAATCATTTTCACCCCGACTGGGACTTATAATTACAAAGCCAAGGCGCTACAAACTATACCATAGAGGGTTAAAAGAAACAGAACTTACAGCTTATAACTGCTATACTAGCAACGAACGCACTCTATCTGAATGCCACTATGTTCATATTACAGTTTCCCCAGCCTCACTAGTGGTTTCGCTATCGCATTTAATTCAACTCCAGTCTCATTCGGGACCAAGATATACCAAATAAGCACATTACCATATGTGAAAACATGCATCATTTTTACCCCAACCGGGACTTGAACCTGGGACTTATAATTACTAAGCCAAGGTGACACCAACTACACCACAGAAGGTTAAAAGGAAAGAGACCTTATAGCTTATATCTGCTATACTAGCAATGAACACATTTTATCTGAATGCCACTATATTCATATTACAGTTTCTCCAACCATGCCTTTATGTTCATATTACAGTTTCCCCAACCTCACTCGAGGTTTCGTTTTCGTATGTAATTCAACTCCCAATCTCATCCGGTACCAACAATAACCATATAAGCACATTATTACCATATGTGAAAACATGAATCATTTTTACCCAGACCGGGACTTCACCCTGGGACTTAGGATTACTAAGCCAAGGTGCTATCAACTACACCACAGAAGGTTAAAAGGAAACAAACCTTACAGCTTATATCTGCTATCCTAGGAATGAACGAATTCTATCTGAATGCCACTAAGTCCATGTTACAGTTTCCCTAACCTCACTCTTGGTTTCATTTTCGCATTTAATTCAACTCCCAATCTCATTCGGGACCAACAATAACCAAATAAGCACATTACCATATGTGAATACATGAATCATTTTTATCCCGACTGGGACTTGAATCTGGGATTTATAATTACTTAGCCAAGGCATTACCAACCACAGCACAGAGAGTTGAAAGGAAACAGAACTTACAGCTTATAACTGCTATACTAGGAATGATTGCATTCTATCTGAATGCCACTATGTTCATAGCACAGTTTCCCCAACCTCACTCGTGGTTTACTTTTCGCATTTAATTCAACTCCAATCTCATTCGGGACCAACAATAACCAAATAAGCACATTACCATATGTGAAAATATGCATAATTTTTACCCCGACCGGGACTTGAACCTGGAACTTATAAATACTAAGCCATGGTGCTACCAACTACACCACAGAAGGTTAAAAGGAAACAGACTTTACAGCTTATAACTGCTATACTAGCAATGAACGCATTTTATCTGAATGCCACTATGTTCATATTACAGTTTCCCAACCATGCCACTATGTTCATATTACAGTTTCCCCAACCTCACTCGAGGTTTTGTTTCCGCATGTAATTCAACTCCCAATCTCATCTAGGACCAACAATAACCAAATAAGCACATTATTACCATATGTAAAAACAAGAATCATTTTTACCCCGACCGGGACTACAAACTGGGACTCTTGATTACTAAGCCAAGGTGCTATCATCTACACCACAGTAGGTTAAAAGGAAACAAACCTTGCAGCTAATATCTGTTATACTAGGAATGAAGGAATTATATCTGAATGCCACTTAGTTCATATTACAGTTTCCCTAACCTCACTTGTGGTTTCATTTTCGCATTTAATTCAACTCCCAATCTCATTCGGGAACAACAATAACCAAATAAGCACATTACCATATGGGAAAACATGAATCATTTTTATCCAGGCTGATACTTGAATCTGGGACTTATAATTACTTAGCCAAGGCATTACTAACTACACCACAGAAGGTTAAAAGGAAACAGAACTTACAGCTTTTTACTGCTATACTAGGAATGAATGCATTCTATCTAAATGCCATTATGTTCATAGCACAGTTTCCCCAACCTCACTCGTGGTTTAAATTCGCATTTCATTCAACTCCAATCTCATTCAGGACCAACAATAACCAAATAAGCACATTACCATATGTGAAAACATGCATCATTTTTACCCCGACCGGGAATTCAACCTGGGACTTCTAATTACTAAGAAAAGGTGCTACCAACTACACCATAGAGGGTCAAAAGGAAACAGACCTTACAGCTTATATCTGCTATACTAGCAATGAACACATTCTATATGAATGCCACTATATTCATATTACTGCTTCCTCAACCTCACTCGTGGTTCCATTTTCGTATTTAATGCAACTCCCAATCTCATTCGGGACCAACAATAACTTGCACATTACCATATGTGAAAACACGAATCATTTTTACCCAGACCGGGACTTGAACCTGGGACTTACCATTACTAATCCAAGGTGCTACCATTTACACCACTATACTAGCAATGAATGCATTTTATCTGAATGCCACTATATTCATATTACAGTTTCCCCAACCTCACTCGAGGTTTCGTTATCGCATGTAATTCAACCCCCAATCTCATCTAGTACCAACAATAACCAAATAAGCACATTATTACCATATGTGAAAACATGAATCATTTTTACCCAGACCGGGACTTCAACCTGGGACTCTTGATTACTAAACTAAGGTGCTATCAACTACACCACAGAAGGTTAAGAGGAAACAAACCTTACAGCTAATATCTGCTTTACTAGGAATGAACGAATTCTATATGAATGCCACTAAGTTCATATTAAAGTTTCCCTAACTTCACTCGTGGTTTCATTTTCGCATTTAATTCAGCTCCCAATCTCATTCGGGAACAACAATAACCGAATAAGCACATTACCATGTGTGAAAACATGAATCATTTTTATCCCGACTGATACTTGAATCTGGGACTTATAATTACTTAGCCAAGCCGCTACCAACTACACCACAGAAGGTTAAAAGAAAACAGAACTTACAGCTTATAACTGCTATCCTGGGAATGAATGAATTCTATCTGAATGCCACTATGTTCAGAGCACAGTTTCCCCAACCTCACTCGTGATATAAATTCGCATTTTATTCAACTCCCAATCTCATTCGGGACCAACAATAACCAAATAAGCACATTACCATATGTGAAAACATGCATCATTTTTACCCCAACCGGGACTTGAACCTGGGACTTATAATTACTAAACCAAAATGCTACCAACTACACCACAGAAGTTTAAAAGGAAACAGACCTTACAGCTTATATCTGCTATACTAGCAATGAACACATTCTATATGAATATCACTATGTTCATATTACTGCTTCCTCACCCTCACTTGTGGTTTCATTTTGGTATTTAATGCAACTCCCAATCTCATTCGGGACCAATAATAACCAAATAAGCACATTACCATATGTGAAAACACGAATCATTTTTACCCAGACCAGGACTTTAACCTGGGACTTATAATTACTAAGCCAATAACAACTAAGTAAGCACACTACCATATGTGAAAACACAAATCATTTTTACCCAGACCGGGACTTTAACCTGGGACTTATAATTACTAAGCCAAGGTGCTATCAACTACACCACAGAAAGTTAAAAGGAAACAGACCTTACAGCTTATATCTGCTATGCTAGCAATGAACGCATTTTATCTGAATGCCACTATGTTCATATTACAGTTTCCCCAACCATGCCACTATGTTCATATTACAGTTTCCCCAACCTCACTCGAGGTTTCGTTTTCGCATGTAATTCAACTCCCAATCTCATCCGGGACCAACAATAACTAAATAAGCACATTATTACCATATGTGAAAACATGAATCATTTTCACCCCGACCGGGACTTGAACCTGGGACTTATGATTACTAAGCCAAGGTGCTACCAACTACACCACAGAAGGTTAAAAGGATGCCAATATGTTCATATTGCAGTTTCTCCAACCATGCCACTGTGATCATATTACAGTTTCCCCAACCTCACTCGAGGTTTCGTTTTCACGTGTAATTTAACTCCCAATCTCATCCGGGAACATCAAATACCATATAAGCACATTATTACCATATGTGAAAACATGAATCATTTTTACCCCGACTGGGACTTAAACCTGGGACTTATGATTACTAAGCCAAGGTGCTATCAACTACACCACAGAAGGTTAAAAGGAAACAAACCTTACAGCTTATATCTGTTATACTAGGAATGAACGAATTCTATCTGAATGCCACTAAGTTCATATTACAGCTTCCCTAACCTCACTCGTGGTTTCCTTTTCGCATTTAATTCAACTCCGAATCACTTTCGGGAACAACAATAACCAAATAAGCACATTACCATATTTGAAAACATGAATCATTTTTATCCCGACTGGGACTTGAATCTGGGACTTATAATTACTTAGCCAAGGTGTTACTAACTACACCACAGAAGGTTAAAAGGAAACAGAACTTACAGCTTATAACTGCTATACTAAGAATGAATGCATTCAATCAGAATGCCGCTATGTTCATAGCACAAATTCCCCAACCTCACTCGTGGTTTAGTTTTCGCATTTAATTCAACTCCCAATCTCATTCGGGACCAAAAATAACAAAAAAAGCACATTACCATATGTGAAAACATGAATCATTTTTACCCCAACCGGGACTTGACCCTGGGACTTATAATTACTAAGCCAAGGTGCTACCAGCTACATTCCTAATATAGCAGATATAAGTTATAAGGCTTGTTTCCTTTTATCCTTCTGGGGAGTAGGTGCTAGTGGCTTGGCTTGATAATTATAAGTCCCAGGTTCAACTCCCGGTCGGGGTAAAAATTATTCATGTTTTCAGATATGGTAATGTGCTTATATATATATATATATATATATATATATATATATATATATATATATATATATATATATATATATATATATATATATATATATATATATATATATATATATTTATACATATATATATATATATATATATATATATATATATATATATATATATATATATATATATATATATATATATATATATATATATATATATATATATATATATATATATATATATATATATATATATATATATATATATATATATATATATGTATGTATGTATATATATATATATATATATATATATATATATATATATATATATATATATATATATATATATATATATATATATATATATATATATATATAATGCTGAACTATTAACAGTTTAAAATGGTAGGAAAAAGCCCATTAAAGAAAACAACGAAAATATATTTGAAGTAATTATTAATTTCGTGACCTTATTTGGCCACCTTCTCAAAGTGCAAAGACAAGAGATACAACTAGCACACAAAAACATATGAAAAGAAAATGAAATCTGTCCCACAAGGGGATTTAAAGGGGATTAAGAGATACCAATCTTAATTACTAGGCGGGGTCAGTCGATAATCCCAACACACTGGCCAGCGTGCATGCATCTACCAACATAAAACTTTCTAGAGAATGCCTCATCTCACGGGTATTGTGTGGAGCTTTGTAGCACGTGGATCGGTCGGTGTAGCGATTGCTTCTTCCCATCTACCTCAGACTCTATAAACTCTCTTCCTCCTTCTGTCTTTCCTAATTCTTATGACCTATCTTCCTTCAAAAAGCGGATCTATCGTCATCTCATGGTCTAATTCTCCATATCTCAAGGTCCTCTGTACTTTGACTATTTTTGTCTGTCGTTTTCCTTTGTGTAACATTAGCTCATCTCTGCATTGTCATTAACCTTTTTCTTTTCCTTCGCATATATATATATATATATATATATATATATATATATATATATATATATATATATATATATATATATATATATATATATGCAAAGAAAGAATATTCAAGAACGTAACAATAAATGTAACAAATGAAACGAAAATAAATTTAAAGAAAGAAAAAACACGCACGATAATCAGTCTGATGAATATTATACATTTTCTTGTTTATGAACGTAATTTACGATCATATTTTCAACGTAAAAACCCCTAGAAAAGAGACTGGAAAGAAAGAGCAAAAATTTATGAATCCACAACGATTCCCCAGAAAAGAAATGGACAATAAATGTGAAGGCGAGACAACCACACATACAAATATATTGAAAGAGGGAGATGCGCATTTCTACAGCGCAAAAGAAAGACCGTCCATGGGGCAGATGTAAATATAAAAGAGAATTTTTCAATATTTCGCTATTAATTCCACTGTTGATGAAGGTAACTGATAAAACTGATTTCTAGTCGGAAGCACTATGTCAGCAGTTCGGAAAATCGACGTAAAGAGAGAAGCCACTGTGTTCTGTTTCTATGCTAAATTTGTGTTACTCTGTTTAGCAATGTTATCACAATTTTCAAAGTCTAGGGGACAGCGGTAGTGCAGTGGCAAAAGCCCTCAACTTGGAAATTGACCAACTCGTGTTCGAGCCCACAGTAGGACTTTAGGACAGGCATCCACCTTTAATCCCAGATCCGACATGTTTGTGTCCACCCCAAATCGAATGGGGACTAATTATGACCAATATACAAGAGCAAAATATCTAAATTTTTCAAGCTTACCGACCAGAATAGCTATAGCAATGATCAAGGCAGCAGAATGGAGACTTCAATGTGCACCACAGTGAGTGGCTTCATTCTTCTCACACTGACGTGGGAGGAAGTGAGGTCCTTGCTTTCTCTATTACTCACGATCTGGAGCAAAATATCGAACATCCTACTCGTGTTCCTGATCGTCACAAACATGCAGCAAACACGCTTGCCCTATTTTTTACTTCTAACCCTTCAAACTACTCCTATTCTGTGCTTTCCCCTCTTGGTAAATCTGACCACTCTATGATCTCAGTCTCTTCCATTTTCGCTCCCCCTCCACCAATCCCTCCTACTCAGCGCCACCTCTGGCACTTTGAGCGTACCCAACATGAAAATTTGGTAACTTCCTCTTTGACTTTCCATGCAATGACTACTGCTTTCGGTCCTGCAACCCTGATCAGGTAGCTCTAAAAGTTGCCGAGATCATGATCTCGGGAATGGAGGTGTACATCCTCTCTTCTACAAAAACTTTCTCTCCCCCTAAACCTTGCTTAACCTTGCGTGCTCCATGGCTATCCAGGCTAGGAATCGGGCACACCGATCTTCCCAAGCATCTCCTTCTGA